CAGAAAATAGAAAAGATCATTCCTTTGACAACAATTCGATATGATCTACAATTGAATTTCAAAATTGAAATGACTCCTAAAAACTCTTATGGTAATATTATTTTATTTAAATAACGATTCAAACAAAGAAAAAAATACAAAGTTTATTCTTTTATCAATATCTACATCCTTAGAAACATGTGTTATTCAACTTGTATTATATCTTCAAATATTTCTAATCTCATTCGGATTTAATTGTTACTCTTTTAGTAATCAATATATTTAATGTTGATTGATTTCAGAAAAAAAAACAAAGAAAAATGAAATTTATATTTATTTTTGTAACGAGACGGTCAAAGTTAAAATGAGTAAACCTTTATGAGAAAATATTTGAATAATATTTAAGTCATTTTGTAGACTTCCATAATACAACTGGTTATCGTATATCATCAGAATATATTTAATACAACAATGAATTAGGAAAAAAAATAAAATAATGGAAAAGAACAACATTTGCCCTGTTTAATCAATATTGTGATGAAAAATTTTGTTTTAATATATCATTTCTATGACATAAACTTGATAATTCTATAGGAATTTCAATAAAGTAAATTGGTTTTAAAAGGATGTTTATAATTTGTTTACAATATAAGTTATGATTTAATGAATATTTTTCTATTTTAACTTACTTCGATCAATTTTTGGTGGTGGTCGATATTTAATTCCAGGTTGTGACCAATATATTGGTACTGATCCTCGAATCATAGTAAATGACATAATATTATTTCCAGCCCATAAAATCTTAAGAAAAATTCTTTAATTAATTTTAATTAATTTTAATATTATTTACTTGTTCAGTTTCAACATAATTAGCAACATTTCCATCATCATCAATACCTCTACAATGCATTCTAACACCAGCACGATGACAATTTCTTCGTGATATAATAATTAATTGTACATCGGTTTGTTGATCGACTTGAAAATGACATTCATCTATATAACCCATTATTATTGGTTGAATCCATTGACTATCCAAACGTTCTTTCTATTAATAAAATATTGAAAAATTCTATTGAAAAAAAGAAAAATTTTCTCTAAGAAAAACAAAAAAAATACTTCTGCTTGATCAATAAGTTTACTAAGCATTTGTCTATTCCAAAAGAATTTTTCATCAGCACGTTTCCATAGTGGAATATTATTATCATGATTAAATGAACGTTGCATTGAGTTTGTTAAATCATATGTCGAACTATAATAAAAACATTGAGTTTCTTGATACCATAAACGAAATTCCTGAATATAAATTATTTTAATTATTTTTTGAATAAATTAATAAATAATGACTCACTTCAATACATTTTAATTCATATTTATTATTTATTGAAGAACTTATTTTACCATCTGATTCCTAAATAAATTTTTTTATTGTTTTTTTAAAAAAGAAAACAAAATTAAATCTTGATTATTTACTTCATCGAAATTATCAAAAGGTTGAATAAGAATTTCTGTAATACGATAAATTTCATGTCCGTCAGACATTTCACAAACAAGTTGTCGACTTTTTATAAATATTAACCAATCAAGTCCATCTAGTAAAAAATAAATCACAAATATAATTAAATTATAAATCTTGTTTGAAAAATAAATAAGTCAAACTTATATTTATTACCTTTAACAATTTTTACTTGTCCAATATAACCATAAATATCGTTTATTAATGTAGCATCCCATGCTGATGATGATAAGAATTTATCAGTGATTGGTTCTTTTAGATTTTTTATTTAATAAAAATTTATATCAAATCAAACAAAAAATCTAAACATACCTGATTTAGTATATATAGATAAACTTCTTCTATTGAACCATAAACTATTTTCTTCAGTAGTAACAATCCATGAATCGTTTGCTTTATACAACTTCATTCTCAATATCTATGTCAAAATTAAAATAAAATAAAACAATAAGAAAGTAAATATATATTATTTAATGTTATCCGTATTAATAGATAAATATATATATTTAAAAAGAAATTTAAACAAGATAAAATAATTAAAATAAATGTGTATTAATCATCATAATTATCATCATCAGTCCTTGTTGCTTCAAGTTTTCGTTTTAAAACTTCTTTTGATAATTCTTGTGTACGTGCCCAATCATCCTCTTCCAATTGTTGAGCTTCTTCACGAGCCTAAATAAATAAAATATAAATAAAATTTAATATGAATTTAAAAGATTAAATTAACCTGTTGAAATAAAAGTTCTTGTTTTTGTCTTAATTCTTCATCATTATAAATTGATGTTGGTTTTCCATGAAGTTTTCTACGTTTTTGTGCTATTTCTTCTTGTGCTGTTTCCATTGCATTTAAACATTTTGTTTTATATGAACCAAAACCCATATTATCCAAAGCTAATAATAAAAAAAAAAGTAATTTATTTAAATAATAAATAATATAATATTACCTGTGACAATATGATCAGGATGAACAAGTCGTTTTGTTTGTTGTTCACAAACAGTATTTGCTTGTAAAGCTAATGTATGAATAAATTCATTACAACATTGTACAAAAAATTCTTTTGCTTCGCCTGATACACGAATATGATGAGTACAATCTTTAATCATTTTATATACAGCTGCACGTGGAACACATTTATCATCTTCTTCATTTCCACTATTATTTGGTGTATCTATCATCTAAAATTAGTTTTATTAAATATTTATTGATATTTTTGTTTTATTCATCCGTGTGATTAACAATTCGATATGTATTTTAATATAAACATTTTTTGTTTTCACTTGCTTTCCACGTGCAAAAAAAACGTGTCAAGTAAAATAAATAATGGACTTTGGAAAGAGATAAGTAAGTATATAGAAGAAGAAAATATATATATTTTACTATTATATAAACGTAAAATTTCTATTGAAAACAAATGAAGAAATATTTACAAGTAAAACTTTAAGAGTTTAAATGTTAAAGTCGTATATATATATATATATCATCATTTTGAGATTTATATATCAGCTGAAAACCTTATAAGATAAATATTCGTCTCTTTTCAAGATTCATCAAAACAAAACAAAACAAAAACACAGCACTCTCAAATATGTATTTAAATTTTGTTAGTTTTTACTAAATAATTTGATTGATTCAAATAAAGAATAAGATTGCAGAATATAACAGATAAATGGGAAAATGAATTCATTGTATATATACGTATAGATAAACTCGAAGATTCAATGTTTTTTTTTATAAACATCTTACATTTCTAAGCTTAGTTTTAAAGAATAAGAAATCATTGCTATTAATCTTATTTTTATCTCGATTATTGATTAGATTCTGGATTCCCTACATTTTTTCTACTTTTCATCAATATTAATTAACATTGATAATAAAATTCTTAATCAACACAAAAAACAAAATGCAGAATCCACAATATTTATAATAATATCCTAAGACCTTTTCTTCATGTTAATAGAGATATTAGTAGTGTCTCAGAAGCTAATCTTATATCCATCCATTAATCTTTTATCTAAAAACTTAGACTAACAAGAGAATTATTGCAACTACAATCCACCCTTTGAGCTCATATTAAGTCCACAGAAAGATCTTATGACAAAGTTTTTATTTGATCAATTGATTTTGAGTTCAGACTCTGCGCATAAGGTAGAGTTCAGTGGGGTATGATAAATATTAAAAGGATAAATCTCATTTAGATCTTCTGTCCAAAGTTATAAACATTTTACTGGAATTTTCTCCGATGGCACAGTATATAACAACACATCAAATAGCGGTATTTTGACCTGTGATTTTGCGCCTAGACAAGTCTATTTGTGAGTAGAATGTCGTCAAAGTTTCAACAGCAAAGAATATTTTCTTCCTGAAATATTTAAATTTCAAAAATCAGTCATATTTCACAAAATATGATAAAATTTTCTGTTTTTTAGAATTTTAATATCACAGAGAGAAAACATTATTTTGTGCTGAAATTTTAAAGACATTCTATTCACAAATAGACCTATCTGTGTACAAAAATCTTAGGTTGAAATGCCGTCAATCGAGTTGTTCGTATATACAAAGTCATTGACCAAAGTTCCAATAAAATACCTGTAACTTTGGACATAAGGACAAAGAAAATTTATTATTTTGGAGTTTTTCATACCTCGCTGGACTCTATCTTGTGCACACCGTTAGAACTCAAAATCGATTAATCAATTGAAAACATTTCTTCATCAGTAAGACTACAGAAAGTCTAAAAGTGTGCGTTCCCATAGATCTTTTTAGTTTAATAATAACTGTTTTGCTGAATTTTCGATCGATTAAAAAAAGTATTTGATAAAAAACTAAATAAAGAAATTTCGATCTGAAGTTTTACTCATATACACTTGTAATGAACCTAAGAATATTCTGAAAGTCTTATCCGAAAAGAGTATTCTTTTGTCAAGATATTGGATTTTCAACTAAACTCGATTTTTTGTGACATGTCAATTATTCACAGTTAATTTTTTAGAAGTTGAATACTTCAATGAAGGAATATTCTTTTCGGGCCAAACTTTCATGACATTCGACAAGTAATAAGATCTATCTATGAGCAAAATTTCATATCGAAATTTCTTTTTTTTATTTTTCAATAAATATCTTAAAATGATCATAACTCAACTTCAAAGAGACTCATGGGGGCGAATATTTTTAGACTTTTTACAGTCATACCAAGATTTTCTTTTGGACGGAATACGAACTCAATCGGCAGGTTATAGTTGAAGAAGTTTTCTTGTAAGAAAAGAAAACTGAGAAACTTCTTATACTTTGAAACACGTATGTGACTAATCTAATATTTAAAAACAAAGATAAATAAATGAATTTTATTGTAATTGTAAAAAATAAAACTATTTGTTACATAAAAATATTTCATTCATTATCAGTGATTGTTCGTTTATGAGTGACGATACATGACTAGTTAAAATGATTGAGATTCCATGATTATCATTGTTTATTTTGATGAATAAAACAAAGGAGAATTGACTAAATAAAATTTTTTTGAGGAAAAATATGCATCCATAAAAGACTTATTGGTGGACCAAATAAACATATTTGCCAATAAAGTGAACGACCTTGTGGCGTTATTAATAATAAACATGTTGTTAAAAGAAAAAATATACAAGAAAATATTGTATCAGTTAAATGTAATTCCGCTTGAATACCTTCTCGATTTGAATCAATATCTAATAAATATTTATTATTTCGATTTTGATCGTAAAAATTTTTTAATAATCTAGAAAAAAAAAAAAACCAAAATTATTTATAATATTAATTTTTTTTTTCTGTTTTTATTTATTTTTACTTGTCCTTAATAATAAATCTTTGATATAGCCAATTCGATATTTGTTCATTTGTTGCACTTGGAATTAAATCAATTGGAATTCGTTTTATATGAATATGTAATTCTTTGGTTTGACCTTGTAAAAATTCTAAAATTATTTTCATTTTTTTTTTATTAGAAAAATAAAAAATATATTTTGAAAATTTAATATATACCACCCATTGATGCTGCAGCTATTCGCATTTGTTGATTTTTATCATAAGTTTGAGAATACATTATAGTTACATCATAAACAGCATCGAATTTATCTTTAAGTGCATTTATAGCAGCTATTGTTGCACCTGTTCGAGGATAAAGAACATGATCAAATGGAGGAACATCTAAAAATTTAATAAAATATTACAAAATATTACAATTTATATACGAAGAAATTAATCAAATATTTAACTTTTTACAATTCATCAACTTTCAAAAGTTTATTGTATAAATATGTAATTTTTGTAATAGTAACAGTCACAAATCGATACCGTCTTCTAACAGCAAGTATGACCGTTTCCATTTACTATACTAATCGTTCAGTATTTTATTTAGATTTTCTCTTGCGGATGTACGATACAAAACTTTGGAAGAATCAACCTGGTCTTTCAAGAAGCATCGCCCCATCGACCCTCAAGCTGAATTAAACATTGTAGCTATTAAATTCTATTACAGAAACTTTAAAAAATAACGAATGTACATCAAACACTTTAGATTTCAGCAAAAATCATCCTAAAAGTAAATCAATCTAACTAAAAACTTAGTGAATTTTATTGTCAAGAATATAATATTTAAATTCACTGTTAAACCTAACTTTATACAAATTTAAATACAAAATAGATTTAGATTGAAACAAGTATCTTATGAATACATATATATGTTTTGGTTCTATCTTATCTAATTAATAATTCTTTCGTAATACTTTCAACTTGATATGGATGTTCAAAAATGAAATACTCTTTTCTACGATATATATATATCATAATGACATATACGTATATAAGAGGAAAAAACTGGCAAAAAGATGACTCCAGCTACCGTTAGGCATGGCGATGCTTTAACATTTATGGAGGACACGAGTAACTGTGTTATTAGGGAAAAAAAAAACTTTCTGATGATGATCCCTCTGTCGTTATTTCAGGGTTACCGCCGTTCTCAACTTGCTTTTTCAGTACGGTACACATCCATGATATTAATATATATATATATTATTTTTATACTAAAAAAAATTTGAGTATATCAAAAAGAAGATTTTATATAAAAGATAATAAATATTTTTGTAACCTTTTTGTTTTGCAAATTGTCGTGATCGTTGAATAACATCTTGACTTTTAACTGGATTATATCGAGTACCTTCGGGAAAAATAACAAGCCAAACAGGTAAACCATTTGATTTTATTTGACGTATTCCTTTTTCAACACGTTCTAAATCTCCTTTATCATTTCGTCGAACATAAATACAACCATGCTAAATAAATAATTTATTATTTATTTTAATTTTTTTTTTTATTGAATTTTTACTTGTTGAAAATAAAATCCATATAATGGGATCCATTTTAATTCAGTTTTAAGAATATATCTAATATGACCAAGACTACCCTGACGAACAGCTAACATATTTGCAATTATCCAATCAACTAAATAATTCTTCACTTTTATTAAATATTATTCAAAGAAAATTTGAGACATTTTCTACCCGAACTTTGATGATTTGATATAAACAAAACATTTTCTTTTTTTTTAATTATTTCTTGATAATCACCATGAAAATAAATCTAAATTATACAAAAGAAAAAAAAAAACGTTTTTAAAATGAAAATGAAAAAGAAAAAAAAAAAAACAAAATCAAAACATACTTTACAATTAACCCAATTTTCAAAGAAAAAAAGAACAAATTTTTGATAAAATGAATACAAATAATCATCACAACGACGATAAATATAATGAGGACAAAAAATAAATGTTATTAAACGTAATACAAACCAAAGAATAAAAAATGTTGGAGCTGATCCAAATAAACTTATTAATGGAATAGCAACGCGTATTGAATTAATTGCAAGAAGAAAACATGACAACATTTTTTTTATCTATAATTATTCAATTAAAAAAATCTAAATAATTCTCAAATGGATATTCATCATCATCAATTTATTTTCTCTTTTTCTTTTTCTTTTTATATTTCTTAATTAACTTAATTCATTTTCAAGAGATAACATTCAGAACTATTATTTATAGGAATCAATAGAAAATCAATCGAAGAAAATCATACTTTATAGAAATATATCATCAATACATAATAATATTAAATAATATTAATTAAAGAAAATTCTAACTTACTTAAATTATTCAAATTAAATAAATTATAAAATATTTGATATTTACAGTTAAATAGTCTTATAAAAATTAAATTAAATCTAATCAAAATTCATCATTTTTACATTTGTGTGTCATTTTTTTAATACTTAGAAATAAATGTCATGTACACTGTTTAGAAGAATAAACATATCTTACTTTTCTTACATGAACTTATATCAAGTACGAAATACATTTTCATCACATATTATAAGATAACATTCTTTTGTCGTTCTTTTGAACTTATGTGCCTCATATGTTACAACGCATTTTATTAGAATTAAGACTTCATTTTTAATGGATTCTCAGTAATATTGAGAAATATTTGCTTCATAAATAAGTTTTAAAAAGAAAAAAAAAATAAACAAAAACTTTTTCTTTTCTTTTATTTGAGTTTCTACGATGATGAATTGTTAATAAGATCGGCAAATCTAGAATTTTGAAAGAGGAAGGAAACACTTTCCCGAAGCGAAGAGAGTGACTAGAGGCAAAAATCATTTTTTGACGCCCATCCGAAATAGTATAAACTCATTTTTTTTTTCTAGAAAAAAAAAAAATCTTCTTGAAAGGAAAAACAACCGATCATTCATTCTAAATCACCACTGGTTAATAATTTTCTTTGTTCAACTCTACTAGATCAAAAGTTATAAAAAATTCTATCTGAAATATATTCTCTTTTAAATTAATACTTGAATAGAATTTTTGATCACAAGATTCAAATTAGATTTTACTAAACGTAGATTCAAATTCTCAATATCAATCAGTAAAGAAAATGCTACTAGCTTAATCTAAAAAGTTTATCAATAATACCATGAAAATGTCGGCACCCCTATCACCATAATATTCATTGCAAATTCAATAGAGAGAATTCTTTTTAATCTCAGTCTTTCGATCAGGAGGTATTTAATTAAATCTGACATTAACTATTTTGAGAAAATCTAATAAAATATCTAATCAATCGACAATAAGTTAGTTTTCATTTTAACAATATTTTCACACTTATTATGTATATGATATTAAAAACAATTATTAACAAATACGAATTGACATAGTTTTTTTTACTTTAAATTTATATTCTGAATTATTTATTATTAAATTTTTTCATATTCAATATTTATTTGAAGAATAAACTTTTATTGTTATTATTAGACAATGATTACTTCATTGCTTTTGTCAATTATTTTTTAATTTAGAAGTTTTTCAAATATAATTATTCGACATAATAATTGTAATTTCAATGAAAAAAAATATCTTTTATGCTCTATCTACATAATCAATGAATAACTTTGTTAGAAGATTATTTTATCTACAATTTAAATAATATCAAGAAAAATAACTTCTTATCATATCAAAATTGTTTCAATAGATAAATGAATAAATGAAAAATAAAATATATTTATATTTTTTTGAATTATAATAATAAGATAATGAAAATGAATTCTTAAATAATATTTAAATGAATCATATCTTATAACCATAGACAATATACATTTCGAATGATCTAAATTTGAAAGAAAAACAAATTTTCTAATATTAGTCACATTTTCTACTATATCTCATCGTTACTGATCTAATGTAATCATTTCTTTATAAGATATGACTTGTTATTTCATTGACATATAAACATCAATCAATCTCTATTGGAGAAAGAACACGATTTCATTCGATAGATTTAGCCAATTCAATATTTAATAATCATTCTTTATCTTTTTTTTCGTATTATTATCAAAAATATTTCTCTTCACATTTAGAAAACAGATTATTTTGACTTGAATATTTATCAAAAATAACATAAATTATCATCTACAATATACCATATAGAGGTGTCATCTATCGATCAGCAATTATTACATTTTCTTAACTTCGTTGCTTTGATAACAAAACTTCTACTTCACAAATATTTTTACCATTTCAAAATGAAAAACAAAAATACACTGAATAACAATTTACTCTACTAATATCGAGATGTTAAAATCTCGAAGAAACAAAGAATATCGGAAGAAAAAACCGTCGAAATATATTTTTATGATAGCTATCATGTTTGATATTACTATCGGTAAAATGAAAACATAAACAAGATGTGGGTGTGAATGTATGACTCTTCGTAAGACACCATACAAATCTCAAGTCCAGCAACGACAGTCCATCACACACAAAATAACATTCATACTCACAATCTACACCAGCTCTCACACTCCAGACTGACACTGATGCCCACATCCACACTCATATCAACACTAGCAACGACGCATAGGCCCATACTCACATTCTGTAAACACATCGAAACTCTTTTTGACTTTCGATCTTTTTGCATTTCAGCATATCTATCTTTCGACATTTTTCTTTTCGATCAAAGTAGGGTTTACCAAAATAACGAGCATGTATGTGTAGCTCTCAATCATTCCATACGAAATCACATAGGAACAGCTGAGTGATGGAAGATATACGCTTTGATATATCTTTTTGAAGCCCAGTACGAAGAGGGTAAGTGTAAACAATAGATAATGTCGCAAAAAATAACGGGCTAACTTTCTGGTAGCTGCCTATTAGTTTTTGATGTTCTACTGTGCAGAAGAGAATTATTTGAAAAATTGCGAGAAAAAAAGCTGACAGAGACAAAACAAAACAAATCGTGCTGCTAGCAGAATAAGATCATGTGACGGTATATAACGCATCAAACACAGGTCTTAAAAGTACTTTTTGAAGGCTGAGGAAAATGAACGATTATTACTGTGAAGAGTAGCAGTACCAGTCACGTAAGCAGTTCGGAGAAACAATAGATGCGTACCAATCTAGAACTGTTACACTTGACTTTCTTCGGCCACTTGCCTATTTCCTGGACTCAAGTACTCCTTATTTCTGGTCGAATGGCTAATAGCAGACACCTCATACGGCACAGAATATTTGTTGTTTGGTCTCTCATTGTGGAATGGGCCGCCATAATGGGATTGTTGCTATTGTTGGTTTGATATGTCATTGATTGATGAGAAATTAATGATTCGGTTCACAAAGTTACTGTTTTTATTCTATTTTTATGAGTCAATGGTTTAGTTCTTCTAATTGTTTGCATCAACTTTTGCTGTTTCACATCTTGGCTATTAATGCATCGTTGGCTAATGGGATTCATGTCATTGAATGCAGTTTCTGTTTTGCACATTCTATAAGTTGTTCTTGTTGAAAAATCAAAATACCTGATTAAATCGCACCGTCATTGGTCAATACATACTTTTATCCTTTTGATTCTTGTATTTATATCAAGGAGTGTATACTTACCATGTAGTTTTTTGGATTTAAAAAGATATTTTGTTATCTTTTGCTTTTGAAAACCACAATATACGTAGTATACAGATGAATGTACTCGATTCCTCGAAGTTCTGGCAAAATCTTAAACTATTACTAGCTTTCGCTTAATTTCTCGTCGCTGATTTAGCCGATGACAAATACTAGAAAAAAAGAAAAGAAATCAGTGATTTACTTGTATGTAGGATTAAAAGTTCTCACCAAAAAAAAGTAGATATTCGAGATAAAAACGACAGATGTTATTTCGCTCATACTGGTGTTTTATCAGTTACGGTGACAGCGACTATTTGCTCCACTGTCATCATATACTCTTGTGAATATCTTTAAAAATAGCACCGTTCTCCCCTAATCCTGACGCTTACACTAGTCCTCACCTTCACTCATAGTCTCACTCACATACACTTATTAAACACAACGCTGACAGGTGAGTAAATTCTTTGAAATATGGATCACTTGTCGAATACTGTGTTATATTGTCAAGCAGCTTGCTTCCTTTGTTTTTTATGAACTTATAAGCTAAGTCCTTCATATGTTCTATTCTAGACGTCTGTAAGACTTTCAGAAGTGCTATTTTAAAACATTATAGATCACATATATAAGTATTTATTTAAACCGTTTGATTGTAGAAGTGAATATTTGCTTATATATGTCCACATAGCTCCTCAGAGTGTCTCTCTTGATTATTTGTTCTTTGTGTCTCCTGCCAACATGTTTCGGCTTCCCATTGTTTACAATCGATCACTCTGAAAAACGTTGATGATTGAATTTCGAACGAGTAGAAAAGATTACTATGTTACTAAGGTCTCACAACCAAATATAAATATTATAGGTGAACGATAAAAAGTTCGTTCCGATTGCTCATTTCGAAGAATTTATTTACATAATGTAGAATTTACTAGTGAGAACAGTAAAATGAAAAAATGTCTTTGTCGTGATTTTTGTTCAGCCATTCCAGTTGGGGACGCCCAACATTTGAATGCCATACTTTTTTGCCACTTGATTGGCTATTTCAGACCAATTAGCCGGTTTGTTGATGAAGACTTGACTCACTTCTTCAAAATAATTCTCGATTCCAGCTGGCGTAAAGACGAATTCTAGTCGAGCATTGGTTGAATTGACATTTCGAAATGTGTGTTTGATACCGATCGGTGCATAAATCCATTGACCAGCTTTCGCTTTTATGATTGTTTCACCGACTTGAAATTCTAATTCACCTTCGAGCACGTGAAAGGATTCATCTTCTCGAGTATGAATATGAATCGGTGGTCCTTCACCAATGAGTATTTGCCCTTCCATAATCATCACTCGTCCACCAGTTTGTGTCCCTCGAAGTTTAATCACGCGTGAGGAATTACCATAAGTCAATACAGCCAAATCTTGACCTTCATTAGGACCGACAAAGACTGGTGGATTGGTCGAGAATGGCAATAAGGTATTGCAAATGGCTGTTTGAGCTACATTAGCTAGTGACGATGTGATGCTTTGAATAGAAGGCAATTTGAGAAAACGAGAGTTCGTTGGTATACATTCTAAGTAGAACAAAATCGTTTTTATCATAAGTGACATTGGTAGTCTCTTACCGATTACTTGTGGCACGACGGTCAAAACGAGCACGATGAAACATAAGACGATTGACTTACTCTTCAACATATTGAGGGAGCTTTTGCAGACTACAACGATAGACTACGAAAAATGAAGCAATATTTATATTCGAAATTGATGGCTTTAGCTTCAATGATGTCAAGCGAGCTGACGTTAGTAGAAGAAAGAAAAAATAGAGAAGCTCTAAAATTGAGTCAATCAAACTCAACGAAAAAAAAACTTACTAATACAGTCTTCGTTTAAAGTACTCTCTTAATCAATTATTTGTCAAACATTTCATGTCGTAAATATACAAAACTACCTGTGCTTGATATTTGTCGACTAGAATCAATAAACTCAACCGGTTCGATCTGCATTCTCAGTGAATGTGAATTATTTTGTCGAACATTTGTGTTGAATTATGAATCTACCATATTGAAAGCAACTAACAGAATTCAATAAATTTTTAGGAGTTTCACTCGTATAAGACAAGTGTGGCCTATCTGACAGCATTGTATGAATTGCCTCAATTCATGAATAGATTTCATATGATCATTGTGAGTGTCAGTGTGTGACAGGAGGTCTCTCTAGTGTGACTACTTCCTCTAATGGCTGGAAGACAATGAAGATTTCAAACACTTTATTTAGTTAGTAATACGAAAAATTGTTTGTAGAAATAATAAATCCAATCTGCATCTTGAATGAGCTGTTTGTAAAGGTGTCGTTTAGATGGGATTGTGTCGATTCTTTTCTCGATTATTGAGAATGCACACAAATCAGCTAAACAAAGCTATTTCAATTCTGATGTGTTATTCTTTGGACCGAATATAGAATGTGTCAATAAACACATTAATAGTTATCTGGAAGACGAAAAATGTCCATCATTCGTTCTGTAACCGTATCTTCTCAATAGATACTTTTGTGGGCAATGACTTGCATGAAAAATGATCTATCATTGGATGATTTCTCTATCAAACAATCATTTCGTTTGAAAGATCAGCGAAATAACGATACATGAATAACTCATTTTGACGGTCATTAAATATTCATGATATAATAGGGAGACGATAAATCAAACGACAATCTTTCTAGTTTCGAAAAATAATGCCGATCATAAGTCAATCATTTACCGCTATCATCAATAAATATCACAGGACAATCAAATAGCTTCAAATTGAGTACATCTTCACTGAACTTTCGTAACAATTTCGTTCTAACATTTTATACATTCCATCAGTTCGACCATGATAAAGCATTGATACTTGTTCTTGATCATTTTCCTATTTGAATATCCGATATTCCTCATATCGATTATTCTTATTCAACAGTTGTACTTCCTGGCGACGTGTCTATTACAAACGTCACCTAAAGCCCAATTGAATCTAATGGTAGGACTTCAATCTGTAAAGGTGAGATAATCAAAGAAATCTAATAGTTTATTTAGAATACAGATGTAAGAGATTTCTTATTTCAATTATATTGTGTCATTTATAGCTCGAATTTGTTTTTGAAACCGAATAACCAGTGCCGCAAAATAAGTACTCTTCTAACTAGTAATCAGAACAAAATGAAATATTGACTAGTTCAACTTCAAACCATTGATGCGAGGCAGCATCGGATTTCTTTCTGAACATGATACAAAATGGCGTTCCGCCTCTCTCTCTCTCTTTCTTTGACATTTTTTCTTCTCATATTGATTATCTGTTATTGATCCATCTGTCATTTGGTATCTTTTTCATGATATCAACTGCAGATCAATCATATTGTCAACAGTCTTTCAACAAAAAAAAGTCACTAAACTCGAGGCATCATTTTACAGTTGTTGAGACTAAATAGGTTCCATATAATTCTTTCGTGTTTGTTAATTCGAAGTAATGTTGACGATGTTGTTTTAGTGACATAATGCCAAGAACAACATAACTTCTCTAATAAAATTATTGCTTGTGATATTCAAACTAAGAATCCCTTCATACGATCTTCTGCTTATATTTGCACAAGCAAAATTGATTAAAAAAAGTAACACCAGTTATTCAGATCGGAGAAACTTTGATTGGACGGCTTTTGATTATTCTATTGATGAATTCGTACCAATATCATTCGAATATCGATGTTGACATGTATCAATTTGCTTCACTTTAATTAACAAAAAGAAGAAACCATATATTCTCATATATTCGTTTTTTTTTCTTCTTACTTCTAACAATCTTGATCAATATTAGATTGGTGAATATAAATAGGTAAACATATATGCACTGCATCGGTATGCACAAATCCTCTATAAACAGAGATTTGGTCTCCACTATTTAATACTTTTTTTGTACTGATGAAACTTATTGATCATGGCACAACGATATTTAACTATCATTCTTCTCCTCGCACATTTACGAGCAATATCTACTCGAGCCAGTAATTCATTGATCGATTGTCAAGCAATTGCGCAACAATTCACGACGAGTAATTTTACTAGACCCGTAGCAAATATCACTGTTGCTTCTGAAATCAACATGAGTTGTTGTGGAATGAATGCAACTCTCTGTCCTGGTCGTATCGATTCGAATGGTAACTGTGTATTTGAAAGCAAATTATGCGTAACTTGTACATTAGAAAATAGCATCGCCCGTATAAAAATTCAATCGAATGGTTTACCACCGTATTGTCCTGTTTTGAGCGGCATCGTTCCGTTAAGAGAACAAAATATTGATTTTGCAGTAAATTTTAATCCTGATGTTTCAGTTTTGGAGCCAAGAATCAACATGATGATACAAATCGACATTGGATACAGCCGTCTGTTTGGTAAATAATACGGAATTCATACCAGTCAATGCTAATTTTACTCTTTATTCGTCATCAGTTTCTGTCAATTCGATCGCTGGTATTAGCATTGATGGAGTACCCATCTTCAATGTCGATAGTACTAGTAATCAAGACGTATATTATCCCATCACTGGACCACCTACAGATTGGGGTGATCAATGTTTTGCACATCCTTCATTGGACAGTATCTATCATTATCACATTGACAGTGGTTGTGCATTGGAGCCACCAGTGGGTCAAACTACGTTGTGCAATAATATTCCACCTTGCCGAAGAGATGGTGCCTCTTACAGCATGAGCATGTTTCGTGATTATCAAAATTTGACTGTGTTGGGTGTAGCCAAAGATGGGCACGTTGTTTATGGACCCTACACACCGGACCGGTACTACAGTAAATCAAGGCGTTGATATATGCAATGGAATGTTTTTCGATTCTATCGGGAATTACGAATATTTTTCAACGAAGACTTTTCCTTACATGATCGAATGTTTCGGTCCAAGTAACTATCCAACAGATATACTTCCCAGTTGCACGCGAAATCCACCTGCAAACTATCAAAAGTCTCCATATGCTGTACAACTAGCAATGAATACCACGATAATTCTTCTAAGCAGCAGTACCACGTTCACAATATCAGCAGTCATGCTCATGTTTTAACAATTTCAACATGGATTAATATTTACATTGTTTTCTCTACAATCATCACATGGATTTTAATGTAATTAACAGAGATATTATATCGGATAAATTCAAGAGTTTAATTCAATTCGAACTTAACTAATTCTACTCATTGATTATCTTCCCTTAATATTTTGACTTTTTTTCTAATAAACTCGGGGATAATCGAATTCAGCGCAGTCTTCTATAGAATTTTGTGACTTGATAATACAAATTAATAATAACAAATCAAGCGGTAGTCTGAAACCCAGTGAATATTCGACTAGATTTTCGCCTAAAGAAAATTCACCATGAAGGAATGTAAATAGGAATATATTAGTCACATCTAAACAAATAACAGTTTTACTTCATTGATATTTATCAATTAAAAACGATCTGAATAAACACTTTCGTATGATACAGTGTTATGGAAAAATATTCTTTGCTTCTCTGCTGTTACTTGATTTTGATTGTCTAAGATTTCATTTGATAGTCTACTTCTATTATTCATCAATGGAAATCAACTATATTATCTATCGTATATCTGGAATCAGCATTACAGTCGATGACAGTTAACGATCGGTTCAGTAAAGGATTTCTTACCGACTGGCGTAGGTTTTTCGAGTTTCTGAATGTTTTATTTTCAAAGCCCTGATCATACAGATATTTTTTTCCGCATATAAAATTAGTTTTACTGATGTAAATGACTACTTCTACAGAAGAATAGACATTAGAATATTTTTATTAATTGAATATTTATAAAAATACTCCTAATATATTACATCAAGTCATATCCATATCAATTTATATTATCGAAACAAAAGAAAGTCACTGTTCGTCATTATAATTTATTATGTTTATTCCCATTTGTTATTATTGATACCAAATCTTTTGCATAAACAAAATAGATAATAAAGTAAATCTATTCTAAGATCCAGGATTCATCTACAGTTGATCCAGAATTTCTATGCCTGACGAACATTTCATTAGTGTATAAAGCTAATTTTAACTGTTGCGAGGAATCCCAGGAGAAAAAGAGAAAATACCGCACCTCATCATACTTCAGTGTATTTTAAGGGTACACCAAAGCTATCCTATAGCGCTTCTTAGTTATTTCATGTCTACTATCAACATGTGTCAGAAGTATATTAGTTCCTGTCTGACACAAAAGCCTAAATACTATATTGCCAGAAAGATTTCTATAAAATGAACTCAAACTACGTAATATGCTCGCGACACATGTTGACATTAGACTTGACGTAGTTAAGAAGTTATCAAATAAGTAATACCACGGTTTTCGTCATATTAGTCTTCAAACGAAAATATTTGTTGAAAGATAAGAGTCGATGACAAATACAGTAAAAATGTTAATAGCGTCGACTGGGTACTTCGGACCTATATCTCGTTAAATGAAAATTAATCAATTAGGGATTTATATATGGGATAGAAACATCATCAAAGAGTTTTAAAATTCATAATTTTAGTGGTATTTTGTCTTGTCTGCTTATCCTCAAATATAATTGACCATGATAGAATGAATTATTCTAATAATGATCAAAGACGCTTTACTTTGTTGATAACTGTTATTTTTTAAAATTTGGCCAAGATCTCATGAAATTAAAACAAATATGTTGGTCTCAGCATCTTCTTACCGTTGACATATGATTCAATGAAGTTCACCAAAAAGAGTACTACTGAACCGTTTTGGTCTCTTCTGCGCTACCGTTCATTATACCGAATACTGCGATTTCTTTGTTCACAAAATGAGTTAACAGCATTTTGAGTTATGTGAAGCTGAAACAATTCTTACTTATTGTCCGATAATGGATAAGCGAGACATCAAGAAGGATTCGAGTAACTTTATCGCAACCGTATTCTCATTCTGGCTTTTCTGGAACAAGGAATCGTAAGCTCCGATGTTCTTATTCTGGATACACCAGAGCTCGCAAAAATCTACATGAAAATAGAGACTTTCGTTTAACAAGAACTGCATATATTCCAAAATAGTAATATCTTTATTTCATGGATAGTAAATTATATTCAACTCAATAATCCAATGAATCTTCAAACCGTTTTCAAGTTAGATTTCAGTGATATTAAATTATCGTCTTCATTTTTATTGTAGTTTTTTTAAAAACAATACATCGAAATCTAGCATGCATAAAGCGTTGCGGAGCTTGAAATTACACATTGTGTGATGAACAAGAGCAATGATTGAAAGAATACTTGGTTTGTGAAACATTTTTTAGACATTTAGTTCAACATATCCTGGTGATTTTGTTTAGAGATCGAGCAGAAATTAAAGAGTACTGGAACAAATATTTATTTGAATTCAAAAAAAAAAGAAGGATTTTCGAATGAATATCGTGTAAAATGTCTCTTTTTATTTCATTGATCATTGCTTTTGTAATTGAAGTTCCTAATGAATCAGAGAAGAAAACTATTTCTTCGACTTTCCTTATTCGTATGCATATACTCACCTTGCAAACAAAAGCAGGCAGAGCAAATGCAGCATGATGTACATCACTCGTATAATATTGAGTATCAAGTTGATCCGCTAATTGTGCATCAATAGGCTTTGTCAATTTTATATTCTACATGACAATCATACAACATAGAAAAAGCAAAACATTTTACTATTACTTACTTTGTCGAGACTACAAACAATAAAACCAAGCGTACCACATGCATAAGTCGGTGTCGAACAGATGCCATATGCTACCACTGGGAACAGTTCATGACAAAATGTGACCATCTTTTTTATCAGAGGTAAATCCAACCAAATGCATTCAGCTATCAGATTTTAAAAATATTTGAGCAAAACTCAATAGAACTTCTACCTTGACAACAGATGATACCATGCGGTTGTTTGAGTGTTGCTTTCATCAATGAGTAATATGGCTTCTCGAATAAGGCTTCAGCGGGACCTAGATATGAATGATTACTTCCATGTATTGAAGAACAAGTGCTGTAACTAAAAGCCAATACCTTCGGGATCAGACGAATCAGTAATGATGACATCAAATTCGTTGTGGTGTTTTTTGAGAAATTCGAAACCGTCGCCAATATGAATCGTTGCCTTAGAACTCTCGAAACTTTTCGACATGTTAGGAAGATACTTTTTGCTCAGATCGATCACATCCTACAAACAGTCCTATGTTATATCGCTCAAATCAAATATATTTTCTCAAAACTACCTGATCGATTTCACAAAGAACAACTTCTTCGACTTGTGGATGTTTGACAACTTCACGAAGAACACCACCATCACCTCCACCGATAATTAGAACCTGTAATAAGAAATAATAATTCTAGCGCTATCATGATGAAATCGTACAAACCCGCTTCGGACATGGATGTGCAAGTAAAGGTAGAAAGGCAGCCATTTCTTGATAGACAAACTCATCACGTTCAGTGCATTGAATACAATTATCTAGCACGAGCACATTGCCGTAAGTTTTACTTAAAAAATGTGTACACATACATATTTAAATGGATTGTTGTAAGAACCAGGTATATAGTTCATAACTTACCTTTTGAAGACAAGAACATCTTGATACTTTGATCGTTGATGATGAAGAATTTCATCGATTTCAAGACCAAAGTCTTGACCAGGCCAGAGTTTATCATTTCTCTCGCGAAACCAATGTTCAGTGTCATAACCAGCAGCAATCATATATGTTAGAAGAAGATACAAACACCACTTTGTGTCGGTGTCTTGACTGAGTAGAAAAGTTTCAATAAGAAAAAACAACTATTTTTCGCATGTTACTTACTTTCCCAATAAACGACTGTGAGTCTTGTCGATGTAATGCTCCGATTTTATAGGTAAACATGAGCGTCCATGCCCGTTCTTTCGTAATAACAAAAAGAGGAAGAGAGAAGACTGTATTTGTTATTGCATAATTACATGACTATTCAAGTATTATATTATATCAAAAATCGTCCAAGCGCAAAAAAAAGTAAATGCAAGTCATCATTAGCTTTTTTTTGTCTATGTGAAAAAGCAAAACAAAAGAGACAACAAGCGATTCGTCTTTGTTACGTATTTTACTTCCTCCTGAAAAGAAATCAGTAATCTATTCACTTTCACAGTATACCCTACACTAATAACATGAAAAAGTTTTGAAACAGTACATCGTTAGCAATAAGTGTCGTCGAAATTTGATTGTTTTTACAACGTTCTCTAACTTCTTCGTATTTCTATTCTTGATAAGTGGTGCAGAAGATCAAACTTCTTTGTTTTCCTACTTATGAAAAAAAAATGCATATGGTTCAAGGGAAAATTTTTTTCAAACGTCGAAAATAATTTAAAAAAAATGCTCCATCATACAGAATAAACAAATTTCTGCTGTCTGTCATTATTTTCGATGATTTTTTCGGGATTTATTCGCGTTAATTACCGAATTATTTGATCTTGGCAGATCATTAATGACACGCTCATATACATGCCATAATTCATTATTAAATTTTGGTTTTTTTCTTCCAGCTCCTATAAAATACATTTTAGACAAATTTTACACAAAATAAATTGTTCTTACCTTGTTTCTTCTTCTCCCCGATCCATGTCTTTTCATAATATTCAACAAGAGTGTCAGCTTCATCATCGAATTCATCAGCAATTAATTCAAACGTTTCGATCACTTCTGAAGCTGGAACAAAAGGTAATGATAATAATTTTCTAACATTTAATCTAAAATTATCATCATCATCATATTTTGTTGATAAACCATTCTCTTGTATATGACGCCATATACATTGTCCATAGTGAAAAAAACAGCCTGAAAAATAAAATATTAATTTGAAAAAAAGATTTATATATATTACCTCTATG